CCGCCCCCCCCCTTTTCCTTTTTTTTTTTTTTTTTTTTTTTTTCTCCCCCCCCCCCCCCCCCTTTTTTTTTTTTTTTTTTGGCTTTTCCTCCTCCCTCACCCCCTGCTTTTTTATTTGTTGCATTCAAATAAACTTTCCTCCCCGGAGGCGGGGTTTGCTCCCGCTGAGGGGGAGGGTTGAAGTTTGGATCCCTTTTAGTTGGTTATTTATTTAATTTTTCTCTTTTTTAAGTTTTTTTTTTTTTTGAGGGGGCGGTGGGATGGGGGGCCGCAGAGCTGCCCTCTCGCTCCCAGGCTCGGCACCACATCCTTCTCTTCCTTCCCATATTTCACCCCCCTCCCGCATCTTTCAACCCCTCCCGCGTCATTCCCCCCCTCCCCGCATTCTTCATCCCCCCCCTTCATCCTTCATTCCCACCCTTCCCAGCATCCTTCATCCCCTTCCCTTATATAAAAGGAAGCAACTTTTTACACGGGCATACAGTGATAACGCAAGAGGCTTGAAAGTAAAATAGGGGAGATTTTAAATTGGATGTTGGGAAGGAATTCTTCCCTGGGAGGGTGGGGAGGCCCTGGCACAGGTTGCCCAGAGAAGCTGTGGCTGCCCCATCCCTGGAAGTGTCCAAGGCCAGGTTGGAGCAACCCGGAATAGTGGAATGTGTTCCTGCCCACAGCAGGGGGTTTGGAATGAAATGATCTTTAACGTCCCTCCCAATCCAAACCATCCAGGATTCCCTCCATCTCTTCTCAGCTTTTTATTTTTAGGGGGAAGCAGGAAAATTAAACCAAAATGTGGGTGCCAGGGAGAGATTCTTCCCGTTGCAGTGGATTTCTCCAGCCCCTGCTTTGCAGCTCGTCCTGGAGAAGGCAGAACACCTTGTTCCCAACGTGCAAAGCTCCCAGCAAAGCACTGCCCCGTGAACAGATTTCCTCGTGGGTTTTCAGCATCGCTTGTCAGCACTTGTTATTTGCAGCCTATAACCCTTTTTTTCCCCAAGACAGCAGATTTAGTGCTGGGGAGGTGAAAACTGAAGGTGGCTGGGATGACTGGGGGGTGAGCTGTGGCCCTGGCAGCCTGGATGGGGCTGGAGAAGTGTCCTGAACGTGCAAAGGATGTTGCTGGCTCTGACTCAGGGTCACAAAAAACCTGCTGGTGATTAAAAAAAAATCCAATATCCCCTGTAAATGCATTTTTCAGGACCTACAAAGTGCCTCCAGCGATGCCATGAGATGCAAATATTCCTTCCCTGGCTTTCCCTTTCCAACCTCCGCCCTCCTTCCCTGTTCCCCCAGGGCTGGGTGTCTCCTGGCTGTAAGGATAATGTCCCCATGATATCTCCCCCCTTCTGGCATTCAGGATGGGATTTTGGGCAGAGCCACGTATTTCATCCCCTCTGGGTGCTGTAGGAGCAGTTCCTCAGAGCTGCTTTTGAGCATCTCAGAAGGAAAGGAGATGATTTGAAGCACCTCCCTCATCTCTAAGACATCATCCCATCACCCTGGTTCCTAGGCCTGCTGGTTCCAAGACAGGATCCCAAGGGCAGGCAGGATGTGGTTGGACCCAAAGTAATCCTTAAAAGCACCCAAAATTGTGATTCCAATATCAGGACCCTCATCCTGGGGCCACTGAATGTCCCGGCCTGAGCCCATGCAGTCCCTGCAGCCACCACCAGTTCTCTGCAGCCACCACCAGACTTTTTGGAAGCTGCTTCATTTTTTTCCCCCTCAGAGCTGTATTGTGGTTAAATTTAGTCCTCCCACCTCATCCCACGGGTGCAATCCAGGCACGGGCCGCTGTGATGGAGCAGGGCTCCTTCTTCCCTCCCTCCCTGGTGCCGGGTGGGTGCCCACAGACCCGGCTGGGAACCCACAGCCCCGACTGTGTTTCTCCAAATCTAAATATTTTGCGCCCTCTCCTGGGTCCGGGTGGTGTGGCCGGGCACCTCCCACCCTGTCCCCTCCCTTTTGTCTGGGAACACCAGGCCGGGGTTGTCCCACCCCGCCGCTCTCGCAGCCCCCAGGCGTTTTGCCTTTGCACTGCAAGACCCCAGAAATGCATCGGAGGGGATTTTGGCAGCATGGAGCTGCCTTTGCCTCCTCCATCGCATCCCGTGCCCCAACCCAAAGTCATTGTCCTCCCCATCGGGACACGGCCACCGCTCCCACAAAACCGAGTGGTTTGAGCCAACAGCGGCACAGGATCCCCCTCCATCCCAGCCCAAGTGATGCTGAGATCTTTGAGCGTCATCCAAGAGCCCGTGACCACTCTGGGCACCCTCCTCATCCTTGTGACAGCAAGGAGACACACTGGGACCACCCCCACTGGATGCTGGGGAGGTCCCTGGGTGGCCAAGTACCCAAGGAGGACACCGGGTACCTGCAGGGAGCAAGTGAGGCTGGAGTTGTCCCCTTGGTCAGGTATAGGCAGCCAAGCTGGAGGGATGTTCATCCCTGGAGATTTGAAGCAGATTGCTTAAATCGACTCAGATGTGATTATGACAACCAGTGAAAAACGCAGTTCTCTCTCTATATATCTGTATTTATACTCTATATACACACATACACTTATAGATCCATATGCTGTGCTCAGGTGGAGCCTGTGCTGGGCCCAGCCCTCGCCCTGCTCACGTATATTCTCTGTATGTACATACAGTGGGTGTGCAGGCAGTGAGGAGAGGGGGAGCCTTCTTCTATACATCCTACATGTTAAAGGAGACTGGCAGAGCGATTAGCGGGGTGTCACCTCACCAATCCCTCCTCGCTGGGAGGGAGCAGCATCCAGAGGCTGTGGGAGCAAAGCTCAATCCCCAGTCCAGTGTGGGAGCAGGGGAGAGGCCACACCAACAGTGGGACGTGCAGTGACATGGCCGAGGAGCTCGGTGACAATGGGGTTCCCAACTCCAGGCATCATGTGTGGCTCTGATTTTAGTGGGTCCTGGTTAGGAGGTGACAGCAGGGCACCACAGACACCAGGATGGGCTAGGTTTGGGGTGCTGGGCTAAGAAAGGAGCTGGACTCAGATGATGCTGAAGGTCCCCAGGAAGGTCAGGCTGGATTGTGTCTGACCCAGCCCATGGTCATGGCTTGGGTGGAAAACCCAGCCTGAGTGTCCCAGTTACCCTTTCCCAGTTCCCAGTCTGGCCAGGGATGTTCTGCCACCATTTGGCAGCACCAATGGTACCAGTGGGTCCCCATCTCTTCCTGGTGCGGCCCCATTCTGGGGACTGAGGTTTGGGGATGTCCAGGAAACATCCATGACACTGATCTTGAGCTGGAGAAACACATGGGCCCATGTCTCCCAGACAGGTAATGAGCTGAGCTAAACCCTCCCCAGCCTGGGAGAGGGTGTCTCCTTTTCACCTCCCCACCAGGGAATTTCTCTTTGAGTAGGGGGAGAAGTTGTCCCCCAGCAGCTCATCCTGAGCCAGGGTCTGTGTCCAGTGTGGTCCCACCATGCTATCCAATGGATTTTTGTTGCATTGGTGGCTTGGCCACCAAATGTGGTGCTGAGCTGCTCCAACTGAGCAACCAAGCCAGGGAGAGGACACTGTGGTGGGTTAATACTGTGCCGCTGCGGGCTGGAGATGGGATCAAAGTGCTGGAAGCTTGGGAGATGCCGTCCTCCTGTACTCCAGCATGTCCCCAGCTGAAGCCATGGAGCCGAAAGTCAAAATAGTGCCACTGAGGTGGCCCTGTCCTCCCCTACGAGCCGTAGGTGACGCAGTGGTCGTGGCGCCACTTGGAGCTCACCTTGTCCAGGAGGTAGCGGGTGCTCTCGCGGAACTTGCGCTGGGTGAAGTAGAAGAGGATGGGGTCCAGGACGCTGTTCATGCTGGCGAAGGGCCTGGTGCACTTGTAGGCGATGGCAAAGGCCTGCAGGGCCGGGCAGGGCACGCCGTCGGAGGAGCGGACCATCAGGTAGATGGTCTTGGTGAGGTGGAAGGGCAGGAAGCTGATGGAGAAGACGATGACCACGATGATGACCATGCGCACGGCCTTGTCCTTCCTCTTGTGCACGGCCAGGCCGACGAGCTCGTCCTTCTGGCACAGGATGCGGGCCATGCTGCAGTAGCAGCCCAGGATGGCGGCGAAGGGCAGCAGGAAGCCGGTGACGGTGAGGGTGATGCCGTAGGGGAAGTAGGCGGCCGAGCGGTCGGGGGGGCTCAGGTCGTAGCACACCGTGCGGTTCCGCTGCGTGCCCGTGGAGGCGAAGACGAAGGTGGGCAGGCACTGGGCGACAACGATGAACCACACCCCGGCACACACCAGCCACGTCAGCTTCTTCCCCTTGCGCTTGTGCCACGAGGCCAGGGGGTGGCAGATGCCCAGGTAGCGCTGGACGCTGATGCAGGTGAGGAAGAAGATGCTGCCGTGGAGGTTGGAGTAGAACTGGAAGCGGACGAACTTGCAGGTGAAGTCCCCAAAAGGCCAATAGTCCTTCTGGGTGTAGTTGTAGATGAGGAGGGGCAGAGAGCAGACGTAGAGCAGGTCTGCCACGGCCAGGTTGAGCATGTAGATCATGGAGCGGCTCAGCGCCTTCCGCGCCACCCAGATCTGCCCGATGACCACGGCGTTGAGGGGCAGCCCCACCACGAACACCACTGAGTACACCAGGGGCAGCAGCACCTGCTTGAACTCCTCGTGGAAGGTGCACGAGTTCCTCCCGGTGCCCACCAGGGCCGTCAGGTTGGCCATAGTGGTGGCACCACCCTGTCAGTGTCCTCTCTGCTTGTGCGGCCCCTCAGCGGCACCTGGGAGTGACAAAGGGGACAGTTGGGGACTCGTCTGCGTGGTGTCACATCCACCAGGATGAACCTGCACCAGTGTGTGTGACTCCGTGGGATGGAGCAACTCCCAGTATCCACCCAGGCTGGGGGATGAGGGGATGGGGAGCAGCCCTGAGGAGGATTTGGGGGTGCTGGGGGAGGAGAAGCTGGATGTGCCCTGTCCATGTGCTCTGGCATCCAGAAACCTCCCATGCCCTGGGCTGATCCAGCAGGGAAAGGGGGGAATTCTGCCCCTCTGCCCCTCAGGTGAGACCCCCCTGCAGAGCTGCTCCAGCCCTGGGAACAACAGCACAAGGACCTGGAGCTGCTGGAGAGAGTCCAGAGGAGGCCCTGGAGATGCTGCCAGGGCTGGAGCCCCTCTGCTCTGGAGCCAGGCTGGGAGAGCTGGGGGGGTTCGCCTGGAGAAGAGAAGGCTCCAGGGAGAGCTGAGAGCCCCTTGCAGGGCCTAAAGGGGCTCCAGGAGAGCTGGAGAGGGACTGGGGACAAGGGATGGAGGGACAGGACAAGGGGGAATGGATTCACATGAACAAAGTACAGGGTTAGATGGAATATTGGGAAGGAATTCCTGGCTGTGAGGGTGGTGAGGCCCTGGCACAGGTTGCCCAGAGAAGCTGTGGCTGCCCCTGGGTCCTTGGGAGTGCCCAAGGCCAGGTTGGACGGGGCTTGGAGCAACCTGGGCTAGTGGGAGGTGTCCCTGCCCATGGCAGGGGATGGAACTGGATGGTCTTTAATGTACTTCCAACCCAAACCATGCTGTGATTCCATAGTTCTAAGCCACGAGAGTGGATTTATGGGTCTGACAGGAAGGTGAAGGGAGAGAGAGTGGGACACACGAGCCGGTGACACACAGAACAGTGAGGTGACCACAGTCACCACCATCTCAGCTCGGCTCCTCGTGGCACTTACACCCCTCAGGAAGGTTTGCACAAGGCCAACGCTCCCCTCACCCCGCTCCAGGAGAGGAAATTGCGGCAGGAGGTGCCGTTCCGGCCGGCACGGCTTCCTGCTCCTCTGCAGGGGGTGCCAAAGCCCCACAGCCCGTCGCCCATCCCGCCCATCCCGGGACATGCCACCTGCCAGGAGCCCGGCACAGCCCGGCCACGGGGGCAGGCGTGGGGACAGCGTTGGGGACACAGTTCTAGGGGTGCTCTGGGCCTGTGGATGCCGCACATGCCTCCTGTCCACGGTACCCCACTGAGTGTCCCTGCAGCCCCATTGAGCCCCTCGCACCTTACTGAGCACCATGACATCCCACTGACTCCCTCTGGCACCCCACCGAGCCCCCAGAACCCCACTGCGCCCCACCGAGCCCCTCTGCCACACCATTTTCACCCCAGCTCTGGGCAGTCCCAGCACCCACCTCTGCCACCTCCAAGCCAATAAGCGCTGCAGGGCTGTGGCATTCCCTATCTCCTGAGTCCCATAAACCTCCCCCGGGACTCCCCAAACCTTCCTCAGGACCCCGGGTTGGGGCAGCATCCACCCAGCACCCACAGGAGCCTCTGCCAGACTGTGTGCTCCACCCCCGAGGACATGGGGACAAGGTGGACGGCAAAGGGGTCTTTGGGGCACCTGGGAGAGCATCCTACCTGCCAGGGTGCCACAGGGTGCCAGTGGGCACCACGGGGTGCTGGGACCTGCTGCCGTGCCTGGCACAGGGCAGGTCTGTGCCCCTGGGGTGCTGCGCTCGCTCTGTGGAGCAAGGAGCGCTTCCCCTTTCCAGATAACAGCAACTCTGTGGGGAAACGGAACCGGGGTGGCAGCATGGGCACTGCGTGGCACAGCACCCTGGGCTCCACACAGCACTGCACTGCACTGCATGGCATGGTATGGCATGGCAGGGTGGGAATTGCCCTGCATGGAACAGCACCATGGGCATCACATGGCACGGCAGGGTGGGCACTGGGCTGCGTGGAATGGCACCGTAGGCATGGCATGACATGGTAGGGTGGGTGCTGTGCCACATGGATTTGCACTGTGGGTATCACCTGGCACAGCAGGACGGGCACTACCCTGCATGGAACAGCACCACGGGCATCACACTGCATGGCACGGGAAGGTGGGCACTGTGCCACATGGATTTGCACTGTGGGCGTCACATGGCACGGCAAGGCAGGGTGGGAATTGCCCTGCACGGAAGAGCACCATGGGCATGGCATGGCATGGCACTGGGATGCATGGAATGGCACCGTGGGCACTGCATGACATGGCATGGCATGGCAGGCGGTGTGCCACATGGAAGAGCTCCATGGCACAGCAGGGTGGGTGCTGGGCTGCATGGAATGGCGCTGTGGGCATCACATGGCCCCCTACACCCCCCCCCCCATGGACACTCCTACATGTGGACACAGCTCATCATCGGGCTGGGTGGATTATCCCAAAAATCCCTTTTCTCACTCTGAAAAACCCTCAGAGGTATCCTTGCCAGCCCCTGGGGAGAGGTGGTTGGTGCCTCCCAAATCCATAGGATTGTGGTCCGGGTGCCCTGAGGCAACAGTGATGGCAAAATCCAGTGGGAAATGAGACTTTTAGGGGGAAAAAGGGGTGCCCGTGGTGTTGGGGTGCTCTGGAGGATGGGATCACCCTTATCCCAGGGATTTAAGGTGCCTGTGGAGGAGGAACAAGGGTTGGGAAAGAGAATTGGGGCTGTTCTGTGGCCAGATGGGGAAGAGATTAAAAATAATCCTTGTTGCTGCTCCCCAGCAGCCTCGAGCTTCCCCTGACTTTGTCCCCCTCCTACCATCTCGTGTCAGCCCTTCTTCCATGGAATTAGTTCTAATTAACACTCTGTGTTAATAGGAAGGGGCTTCTGCAAGCTGGATACAGAGGGAAAATATCCTGGCAGCTGCTGCCCTCAAATAGGATAAGGGAAGGGGCTTTCCTGCCTTGGAAACCTTCCTCCTTGGTTTGTCCTGCTCACCAGGGGGGTGGTTTGTGGCTCCCTGGCAGGGCTGGACAAAGCTGGGCTGGAGGGAAGCGAAAGCTCCGGCTCAGCAGATTTTCGTGGATGAAAGGGGGATGCTCCACCTCTGTGTGTTCCCTTGGCCAAAGCCACCGCACCCTTGCCCCCAAACATTGCCTGGCTGATCCCAAGGTGGCCAAGGATATACCCCCTCTGTCCCAGGACTCCTTGGTGGGGACCAAGGCTGGGCTGTTTTAAGGGAAATCTCCAATTAGGGAAGCCTGGAGGTGTAATGATGTGGACAAATTGGGAATTTTGGGGTACTAAACATGGACTGTGGGGAATGGGACACGAGGATGATCCCACTGGTGCCTCTGCCACCAAAGTACCCTGTCCTTGGGTGACCCCCTCTGCCTCTCCAGGCTTTAGTGCCCCATCTCACAAATCACCAGCCCAGTTGTTCTGAGGAACTCTGAGCAACTGGGCAGCATTTCCCTGCTGGAAATGGGAACTACTGGGAACTGGGAAGGCGCAAGAAGTTGGCCTGGGCTCAGCTGGCAGGGCTGGGTTTGTCTAAACCCACACATACATAATATACGTAAAGGTTCATATATTTATGCACCCACATGTGCATAAACACTTACACAAGCACATACACCTTTCTGTATAAATAATATATACACCCCTGTACGTAAATATACATCCCTCTCCTCTCTACATTTATCTGTCTACATAGACAACCATATATATGGCTTCTCACACGCATTTCTCTGTACATGCATATAAATATATGTGTCTCCAGTCACACACACATATACACAAACTTCCACCCCTCTATACACAAATACGTGTCTCTGAGCACAGGGACTCACCCTCCTGTATATACAGATCTCCATCCACATATACACAAATACATTTATGCTTCTATACACACATCTGTGCAGACGTGCTCATATATACAATATATTTATATCTCTGGATGTATATATGTGCAAATATATCTATCTATCTATATATATATATATAAAGACAGAGGCCAGGCTACCCGGCCCCATCCTGTCCAGTTTGGTTTGGCCCTACTGGGTCCCATCCTGACTGGTTCAGTCTCACTCCCTCGAGTCTGATCCTGCCCAGCCCGATCTCATCCCACCAGATCCAGCCCTGATTCTTGGGTCTCATCCTGACCCAGTTCTGTCTGACACCTCTGGGCCTGATCCTGCCCAGTTTTTACCCATCCTGCCCAGTCTGGTCTGAACCTTTCGGATCTCATTCTGTCCTGTCCAGCCCCATCCTGCCCAGTTCACTCTGAATCCTTTAGGGTCTCATCCTGCCTGGTCCAGCCCCATCCCGCCCGGTTCACTTTAATCCTTTAAGGTCCCATCCTGCCCCGTCCAGTCCCATCCTGCCCAGTTCACTCAATCCTTTAGGGTCTCATCCTGCCTGGTCCAGCCCCATCCCGCCCGGTTCACTTTAATCCTTTAAGGTCCCATCCTTCCCCGTTCACTCAATCCTTTAAGGTCCCATCCTGCCCGGTCCAGCCCCATCCTGCCCGGTTCACTCAATCTTTTAGGGTCCCATCCTGCCCCGGTTCTATTGATCCCCCCGTAGGCGGCACTTACCGGCAGCAGGATGCGCGGGGCAACGGGTTCACCCTGACCCTTCAGGGTTCCATCCTGCCCTGTCCGGTCCTATCCTGCCCTGTCTGGTCCTATCCTGCCCTGTCCGTCCCCATCTGCCCAGTTCACTCAGACCCAGCTGGGTCCCATCCTGCCCGGTTGGGTCTGACCCTGTAGGGGTCCCATCCTGTCCGATCCATCCCCATCCTGTCCGGTCCATCCCCATCCCGTCCGGTTCACCCTGACCCAGCTGGGTGCCCATCCTGCCTGGTTCTGTTGATCCCGCTGCCCCGTTCCCGGCACTTACCGGAGCGGGATGCGCGGGGATCCAGCGGCGCTCCTCGCTCGGGGCCGCCCCGCCGCCGCCGCCGGCCCCGCTCCGCCCCGGGGCCGCCCCGCTCCGCCCCACTCCGGCCCCGCACCTGCGGGACGGCCCCGCAGGGGGCTGGGGAAGGGGCACAGCTGGATTGGGGCGGGGGGGAAGAAGAACAGCTGGGCTGGGAGCCCGACAGCTGCACGGGGGGGTCTGCCCGGCAAACACCCGGCTGGGCATCGTGGGCGAACATCTGCATCGAGGAGGGTGTTTGGGGAGGCTTCCAACAACCCCAAAAGCGGGATCTACGGGTGTGGGGTGCTCCGACCGACAGCTGGATTGTCCTGGCTGGAGGCTTGGAGCTGCTGGAGCCCTGGGAACAGGGTCTCCCTGCGGCACCGGCTCCAGAGCAGAGAGGTCGATGGCTCGGGCACTCATTAACCAGGAAACGCAGGGCCATTAAGGAGCAATAAGGCAAGGAACCCCGGGGGGACGTGTTGGGAATGAAAGGGCAGATGTACAAACAGCCCAGGGATGCCGGGAATATGTGGGATGACGGGCTTGGCCCTTCCTTTCCCTGGAAGGCCATGTCACCCTCACAGATTATTACCTGCTCTCCATTTTAGGGCTTGTGATGGGTCTTGGTAGATGTGGAAGGGAAGGAGGTGCTGAACAGCATCTCCTGGGTGATGGAGCACCATGTGTGGGGACTCCCTGGTGTCACCTCATTGCACCACCAGAGCAGGACCCAGAGATGAGCCGAGGGGTTTTGGGATGGGATGGGGAGGTGGAATGAGGTGTCTGGATCCCATTGGCGCCTGCGCTGCAATGGACAACGTGGGCTTTCATCGATCCTGGCACGAACCCACAGCCAAGCCGGACACTGGGGCCAGGGGGAGATGGGCTCTGGCAGGAGCTGCCAGGAATATTTGCAACCACAGCCATGCTGGAGCCATCACCTGCATCCTGGGGCTGCCTAGACTTGTGGGGTTGGGTTGGCGATGGCTCGGTGCCCTGGTGAAATTCCCTGCTCCCTCAGCCTCCACGGGGAGAAGGAAACCGGGGGGAAAAGTGTCTTTCCCCAGAAAACATGCCTTGTGCAAACAAGCCCAGCATCCTGTGGTGGGGAGCCCAGGACTTTCCACAAACATCCAGGGAATGCATCTGAGAACGGACACAACTTAAGCCTCTGATGAGCCACTTATCCCACCTCCAGTGCCACCTCCCACGAGCTCCAAGCTGGTGAAAAGGGGCTGGTGGCCTCCTCCCTGCCGGCACGTGGGTGTCCTTGCCGGTCCCCAAGGTGAGCAGGCGGCTGTCCTGCTGTAGGGACACTGTAAATACCGGTGGGAGTGTTAAAGAAAGGAAAATAAAAGAGTGGCTCCTGGCTGCCTGCCAGCCCCAAATGCCTCCGCCGAGCGCAGCACCTGGACCCAGCCCTGGAGCACCTGGAATGAATGGGAATCCTCCCAGAATGTCAGGGACAGGAGAGCCAAATTCAGGGGCAGCACCCAGGGCTGAAAAACAGAATGCAAGCAAAGCGTTGTTTTGATGCCTTTTTTTATTCATACAACATGTTCGTTGGGAAAAATCATTGGGGAAAGGATTCCTCTTGGAGTCTCCGGCTGAATTAATCCTTGGCAAAGAAGGCCTGGCATGGTGGCTGGACTGGGCTTCCTGAGAGCCTCTGGCCTCCTGGTTTCTGCTCTTCCAGCTGCTCGTTGCCAGGAACTGCATTAGTGACTGATTGCATGCGGCCTTTGCTGCTGCTGTTCCCCAGGGGGAGTGCGCATTCCCACCGGGATCCAGGTTCCCAGCCTCCAGCAGGATGCTTGGATACAGAGAGGAGCATCTGTGATCA